TCCCGACGCCTTCTCTTGGAAGCTCGCCTCTGTTTGATTGCTTCCGCCCATCGAGCCGCATCTTCGTCCGGAGGGGCATCGTCGGAAAGCATGTCTGACTGGTTGGTGCGGGTGGCGCGCCGGGCCAAGCTGAAAGAAGTACGACGGATTCCGGCCGTGGGAGACAACCGACCGCTGCTGTAAGCAGCATCCTCAGTTTGGTCCCGGCTACTTCGGCGCCCGCTGCTGTTTCGTGGGACTTGCAGCGTGTGTCGATGTCGAAGGCCGGTGTTGTTCGGATCTTGCGCATTACCGTCCATGCCAGATGGTACCGGAGGAGAAGAGTACCGATGGGGACTCTTCTGAGAGGGCGAGGAGGGCGACAATCGATCGGGATCCGGCGAGAGACGGCCAGCGTCATCAGGCTGAGAGGTGGACAATCGCGTCGCCGAAGCATTAGCCACTACATCGGGAGCAACCAGTTCATCAGCGGACGGTCGAGGGTAGTCGCCATTCACCGTCGGCTTGCCGTTGAGCGATCGGGGGGTCAACGTCCCATTGATCTGCTGGCTGGTGACCGATGCCGTCGGCGAGGCTGCACGAACGCTTCTTTCGACTGACTTCCTCGAGACATCGCGATCTAATGTAGTCGAGGGCCTCCCGCCTTCTCTGGGTTCCCGGGCCGAACCATTTCCCAAGGAGTGCATGCTGCCGTCTTTCGAATGCGGCAATTCCCTCGTATATGAGCTGGCGCTGGAGCGCGGACCATTCAGAGAGTAGGCACTGCCGTTGGTGAGTTGGCGGTCATTTGGAGGGGCATCCAGATGGTTCGTGTCGCCATTGGGCCAATTTGTCCATAAGAACGTATTTCCGACGGACGTTTTCTCCGACGTTTTCCCCTGCGGTGAGTCAAATGGACGCGGGTGAGTAGCCGTTGCAGTGGACGATTGGTATGCGACGTCGTTGGCAAAGGAGGGCATGGTCGCTTGGGTGGGCTCAGAAGTCCAGCGGAGACAGAGGTAGGGAGAGCGGGGGTGGAGGAAGTAGCGATGAGGGAAGGTCGGTATTAGCCTCAGAATTTAGGGGCAGGTAGGAGTACTGAGGTCCCGGGTCGTTGGAAAGTCGAAAGACCCTATCGGCGACGCAACGGGTAGAAGGGAGGGGGGCAGAGCGCGAGAGGAAGGGGGGGAGGAGATTAATCGATCAATGGCAGCGGTTGCAATGCAAGAACAGTCAAAGTTCCCGGATTAAGCTGGGGAAGCCAGCGGGCGGCAGAAAGTTTAACGACTGATAGGCATATTCAGGCGAACACTAGATGAGGCAGATGGTACGACACAATCGACGTGTCCGCGGTTTGAAGTTTGGCGTGGAGGCTGGTAGAATCGGTCCGATGAAGGTGACGGGGGGTGTGGAAAAGGTGTACAATCGAAATTAAAACAGGTGAGAGAAACGAAGAGTGTACGGTCGGGGTATCAGTTGCAGTAACTAGCGACAAGCAGGAAAAGGAAAGGATGAGGTTGGCAGCGATAGGGAAAGACGAAAGGCGAGGTCTGGTGGAATGGACAGAAGAGGAGGTAGGAGGAGGATGGCGAAATGATGGGGGAGAGCAGCAGGATAAGAGAATGAAGTTGGAGCGAAGACGCAAGAGAGCGAGAGAGTGAGAGAGAGAGCGAAACGGGAGAGCGAGAGCGAAAGAGAGACAACCCGAGAGAGACTCCAGAAGATGCCAAGGTCCGAGACGGTACCCGTATTTCGCAAGCTAAAAAAAACGAGCGAACGTGGAGAGTTTACGGCTTGTACTGTGCCTTGGCTAGAACTGGTGGTAACTGGTAACGGTAATACCACGCGAAAGGGGAAGAGAGAGAGACAGGCACAACTACGTAAAAAGAGAGAGTAGGGAGAACGAATGGACAGTGCAAAGGAGAGAGAGAAAAGGAAAAGCAGAAGAAGTCTAGGGAAGATTTGTCAGTCCTTTTCCTTTTGACATCAAAACAACATAACCCCCCTTCCTGTCTCACTTTTTTTCCAGCCTAATAATAATATGATCTGAGAAATTACTGTATATGTGTGGTTGTTATTATTATTATTACGATGATTATTAACTCCTTCCCAGAAGTTGCTGAAAAACAAAGTTAGACCCAAAGTGCAAAAGAAGGGGAAATGAGTGAGTCTGGTCCGATAATACCTAAGGAAAGAGTAGCACCAGCTCCACTCTTCAGCTTTCCTCGGGTTGTTGGTTGGGTACTGATCTGTGTACCGATGAATGGTAAGTAGTATATCTAGGTAAGAATCACACCCTCCATTAGAAAGAAAGAAAAAGTTAGATTTTGAAATCTGAGCAGTCTGAGAGATTATTCAACAATCTTCAACCCCCATCCCCATGCAAATATGCAACAATTAAAAAACAAGGTATCTTATCTTTCCGATGTGTTCCCCCCTCTCTCCTCCCCGTGACTGACCGAACCACTCATACATACATACATACTAGTTCTTCCATACCGTATGTAAGTATGGTGGTATCAGGAGGCTTGGCATGGTGACCCCATCGCAGGCAGACATCTAAAAGGTCATCCATCAATCATTTTAAACCATCCTCACGCCCTGAGCCGATCAACCTACTGAACCCTTAACTAAGCCCTGAAAGGATTCTCTCTCTAGCTGTTCTTGTCAATTGAACAACAAAGGATACTTTTCCGTCTCTACTAGTCATATACAAATCTACTCAAACAGATAATGCCAGATAAAATAAAAGGGGAACGAGGCACAGTAAGGTACAACCGAAACCTCCTTACCACTCACACACGCTGGCTGCATGCAAGACAAGAGATAACCATCCAACACAACGACCACCGGAGAGATTAATCGAGCACGTACAGCCAGGATGCATAAGGAACATCTGTCGGGTCGTGTCTCCACCCGTCTATGACATGTTAGATTGGAAAATCGTGTTCGAGCTACTATTACTACTACTACTTTCAGAGAAGTGACTAGCCGGCCCCTGATTGAATCTTGGGGGGCAAGAGCTGTCGCAATGATCTCCTGCGTATGGAGTAGATTGGTGGGACACTTTTCTTATCCAACAACACCTGGCCTCTCCGCGCCCCCGTCGATTGTTATTGCCTTCGATTGAAAAGTAGGGATGGGCAGGTGAAGCACACTCACTTACTCCCTCCACACACACACTCATTGTGAAGGCAGCCCAGCCCAGCCCGCACCCCCTGGTTTACTGATTACGTGCCCGCCCAATGCAGGAATGACCCTCGTCAATAAAAAATGACAAATGATAGCTACAGATCTTCCATCTCTCAAGCCATCTACGGAGTAGATACATCTGGCTTGCATTATGGCTGCCAACGTCAGAATTCCTCCGGGAAAACGGTGGCTGGGGGGCTGGGCTGTTGAGGGCTATACTAACCAACGATCCGGCGTCTCGACTCGATTCCTCAAACTCGAGGACTGACATTCGATACAACAACAGAATCAAATTGAGTGTATATTGTCTCCTTGACAGTAACGTACTAGATAGTAACAGCCCATCCCGCCTTTCCAGTGGATTCTGCACTGATGATCACCAGTAATGCCAACGTCACATCATCATACCCCCCTCCCCCCTCAAAACCAACTTCCTCCTTGCCCTGACGCAATAGGTACTACTCACAAGGTAGGGAGTTTCCCACCACCCACGATGTATCAGGTCACCTGCAAAGCGAATCAATCCAATCATTGCGCATATTAACTAACGATAGGCGGGAGAATCATCCCATCCCCAGCCCTAGCCAGGGATGAACATTCTGTATGTGCAGCAGAAAAGATAGTACTTACTACACTTGACGTCGTTCCGAATCGATTCAATTCAATTCAATTCGTTTCGTTTCATTTCAACACCATGGACAATTTCTGTATCCCCAATACCGGGCCACCAAACAACCATACCCCCCCGTATCCCGTATCCCGTATTATTGCGAAGCAAAGCTCCAGGCACAAAAACACCCACCTCTCTCCTCGGAGTTAACCAACAGTAATACTACGGAGTAATAACCCAAGTTAACATTTTTATGAACACAATTACTTAACTAATTAATCAATAATCCCTGACTCAGCGGATCCCCGGAAAGGAAAGAAACCCAGCAAGAAGGAGGCAAAAAATGGACCTGGAAACTGAAAGTGAGTGGGCGCAATTTGCTATTTTTGGGCCGGAGAGGGGTGGAGGGAGGACCCGGTCGGGTGTGCTAAAAAGTAAGTTACTATGGAAGTAAGTAATCTAACTGGCTTTCTAGTCGAATGAGCTTCCGGCTTCCGTCCACGCTTCGGTATCGAATAGTAAGTTGTATTTCTTAACTATCTAGATGGTGAGTGACCTCATCCGAGTTCCCAGTCCACCGGTCGGTCCACTTCTTTCTCTCTAGCACGTACTAAGCACACCCGCGGATGCATACATTAAGCTTAAAATTGACTGTTTCCGAGCTACTGTGTATACTGTATAGATATCTACGTGCTGGCGTGCATTTGGTTCTTTGATTCACGCTAGTTGCGAATCATCTTGCGCATCATTGGGGATCATTCCTTAATCTCGATATAGTTGTTGACGAGTACTGCGCCACTGGCAGGGGATACTTCAAGATGTCTCTACCAGGAAACTACGAATCCGCTACACTGCATCTCAGCTCGATTGAAGAAATGGACAAGCAGTTTCATTGCATAACATCACACCTGTCCTTGGACAAGTGCCCCAAAAAGAAACATAAGAGTCAGGCACAAAACATATCCCGGTGCAAGATCCATCGCAAGACGCCAACCCTACCGACACTGAAAACGAAAGTGTAAACAATCCACGGCATATCCCAGAAGCATTTCCCCCATTGATCAAAAAGTGGCCAAGGAACAAAAAAAAGATAAAGGAAATAAAAAATTACAGCAGAAGAGACAAAGGGAATATAGCTCGAGAAAGATCATCCGAGGCACACATCACCGACTAGGAGGAGCCGGGTTCAAGTGGTCGCCGACAACACGGTCTCAGGCGCCCACAGATTTAAGCAGCAGTCTCCTTTGCAGCCTTCTTAGTGGTCTTCTTGGTGGCCTTCTCTGCAGGCTTAGCCGTCGTCTTAGTCACCCGGCCACTCTTGGTGGTTTTGAGGACCTTGGGCTTGTCGACAACGGCAGGAGCCTGCTTCAAGATTAGTATACCCTGTCCGTCCGGGGTGAGAAGGCATGGGTCTACAACTTACAGTAGTGGTGGCCTTGCGAGGCTTGGCCGTGTTAGCCTTGGGCCGGCCAACAGGCTTCTTAGCAGTGGTGGTGGCCTTCTTGGTAGTCTTGGGCTTCTCGGCCTTCTCAGTCTTCTCGGTCTTCTTGGCAGCAGGCTTCTTAGCAGTAGCAGCCTTGGTGGCAGTCTTCTATAGATGGCGTGAGTAAATAACTCTCAATCAATTTCAGATGTTATTGATTAAGACTTACCTTAGCAGCAGGCTTGGGGGCAGCTTCCTTCTTGGCAAGCTTCACGGGTCCGGACGGGCCTGGTTGACGACGCGTCAGTTGACACGCCCCATCAAAAATCAAGACGGAAAAGTGAAAGACGCGAACGACGACAGTCATGACACGGCCTTCCGTGTCAAGAGCATCGAATGCCGTTGCGACATAGGAAGAAGATAATGCGCGCGATGGATTAACTTACCCTTGGGCTGAAGGAACTCGCCCTTCTCAACACCAGCCTTGATGGCCTTGTTGAACTGGCTGTCAAAGGCGTTGGTGGAGGCAGAAGCAATCTTGTTGTTCGCCTGAACATATTTCTTGATCGACTGGCGGCTACAGTCGAGGAGAAACAAGACGAGTCAGCCGAGATCGCGACCTGGACAGGGTGGTAGGTTGCCACGTCGCCAGCGAACGGGACCCTGCATTGGGCGGGGGAGAAGAAACACGAAACAACTTACCTGCTACCATTGCGCTCTTTCAGCTGTTGCGAAAGAAGTCAGCGACCCATTTGGGAGGAGAAACAAGCAGGAGCCCGATGGGGCGTTGGGACAATCAAGCACCGTGTAGACGTGTCACGGTCGGAGATCCCGCCCAGCGCCCGTCATCCCAACGCGCACCGGGAACAGCGTGATTAACTCACATTCAGGATAGCATCCTTGATCATATCTATATTCATGGAATCAGCAGTCATTCGCGACAAAAATGATATTAATTTCAATGCTACGCGATGGGGTGGTGGTGGAAGATCAGTCAAAACATACCACGGTAGGAAGCGTGGCTGGAGCCGGACTTCTTGGTGGTGGTGGTGCCGGTGGTGGAAGTCTTCTTGGGAGGCATGATGAAGGTGGGATGGGTGTGGGTTATTTGAGATGAAATAAAAGGTAGATGATGAGGAGTGATGGACAAGGAAGATGAACCAGATGATTTGCAGAAGCAAGGTTGTTGGTGGGATGAAAGCAAAGAAGAAAAGCAGTCGACGACGGAAGGGGTGGAAGGCCGCGGGGCATCCGCGCTTTATAGGGCAGCGGGTGTTGACACAGGATCAACTCGACAATCGAGCACAACACGTCAGGTCGCCCTTCTCCTCTTTTTTTTTTTCCCTCATTCCTTTTTTTTAAATTTTTTTTCTCTCCTCGTCTCTTTTTGCGTGTGAGATTTATCTGTGATCTGCCTCGGTTGTGTAGTGGCTTAAATTAATTTGGTTTTATCATATCAATGTTCGTGTAGGTCTTCTTATAGATTGTCTATGCATTCCTTCTGGGCCGAGTTGCTGCTTCCTACTACTATTTCTTGACGCGCATGATCCAGCAATGATTCCCACGCGTGCTCGATTCTCCTCCATTTTCCCCCTCTCTCCTGAGTATTTTGGAGCTAAAAGTTGCTCCATGCACTTTTCCAGTGGCGCTACTATGACCCTACCACCTTAAATTATTTTTATCTATTTATGTGGTTCGTGAAACCTGCAATCTTACTGAACCCAACATCAGCCGTCCCCGTTGTGATTGATGCTTTTCGCAACCACCACACCATCTCCAGTCGCATTCACACCACGCCCAACAATTCAAATTTTTAATTAAATAGAGTCAATATTCGAATTTGTCACAGACTTATCATTCACTATATCTACAAATATCCTTAAAATACGTAGTCAACCCCTGATTCTAACCCCAAAAACCCCGAGGACTCCAGATCACATCCATCCGTGTCCGCCCGATTACTTCTGCTGCAGTCCGATCAAGCTCCCGGATCAACTCCCAACTTACACGCGATGATTATAAGAAAATAGAACCGATTTGACGCCTCTCTTTCCCCTTGCATCAATCACATTCATTGGTCTTTCACGTCTGGGGCGCAAAACTATGAATGAAACGGCTGGGGGGGGAGGGTGGACAGGAGGCGTTCATGTTTCACTTTGTTCTGGTTTCCCTCGTGCGGAGAGGCTCTGGGGTCACGAGGAAACAAGATGATGTTATGGATTTGACTTTGGGGGGAAATTGAAAGGTGGTAGACCCAGCTTTGAGAATTAACGTTTCTAGTGAGCTTGTGAGCGAAAGTGAAAGGTCCTGGGGAAATCCGGGCCTATGATCGACCTTTCTTTGCTCTGTGATCCAGAGCTCCATTGACTTTGATCCCGTGGTTACATCGGCTTGGCGGTTGCTCGCGGTTCGATGGTTTGGAAGTAGATATATGCTTCCTCTTGGTAGTCCTTGTACCACCTGGCATGATCTATTTCATTGGCTTTCGCATAGATATCTCTCTTTGGAATAGGTTGTTTGTCCGGGGTTGTTGCGTAGACTTGATATCTAGAAGTGATGGTTGATATCAGCGGCGGGCCGGTTGATCGTTTGATGCCATGCGCCGCGCCGGATCACGAGCCCTGATAAGAGGACAACTTTCTTTCTTGATCCTCGTCCCAAACCACGGTATATATGGGTCTATTCCACATGGTAGCTTAATCTCTGGTGTCTAGAATAATTCAGGTACTGAAATTGAATATGACAGCGAATGGATGACTGGTTAAGCTTGAGGAATGCTTGGCGGGAGAGTATCAGGGTCCCCCTCGGCTTCAGCAGCCGTGATCTACTTCGCTCCCGTCCACAACGGCTTTAGCCCACTTGCTTACTTTATTGCTATGCGTTATTTTTCTTGCTATTAACGATGGTCTGGATTCTGTGATTATGTGGATTCTCATTTTATTAGTCAATACGTAGTGTTGTGAATCCTGCTAGTCGATGTCAATTATACATCACATTATATATTTCCTACTACTACTAGTAGTTTCCCCTCACCCGAGAGGCTAGAATACTTAGTAGTACGACTATGACTACGCCACCAAAAGGATAGAACCACCCAATAATATTGTTCAATAGAACCCATCAGAGAAAGCTATTCACAAAAACATCATACTCCATACTGATAATCCCATCTACACAGGAAAACGGACAGAACCAATGCTCCTATCGACGCGCGTTGAACCCGCATAGTAGGGTAGGGTACGGAGTACTAACTAAGCAGTAGTAGTAGAGCGGACAGTCGCGTGACCCCACACCACCCACCTTCCAAGTTCCAAGAGCAATCAATCGTACGACCGTTACACACCTTTAAATAAAAGGCTAAATACTAATAGTAGCGCACAATATACTTCCAATACTACATGAAGCTGGGATACAATCCTACAAAACCCTATTTAACAAAGGAGCAAAAGTAAAGGGGCGCACGCCATGCGATACAATGCGATGCGTCTCACCGAGTCCCAGGTTCCTTCCCGATCTACATAGTACAACAAAACCTTGATTTGAATCATGTACGACTACCAGTCGGGTTGAAGCCCCCTCCTCCAAGTCTAGAACAAGTGTAAACATGTCAGGCAACAAAGTTTCATCAGTTTGCTGCGGAGTTATTAGCTGCCTTATCTATCTATAATGTGTGTTGGTTATTGCCTTTTTAGTCCTTTCGTTTCTAGACAGCAAAAAAGAATCCTCCACGTCGTAGGTATGTACGTGGCATGCTGCACTCGTGCATATTCATCATCCATCCATTTATCCCGCCGGTTGAAACGCCTCTCGCCTGAAGTAACTAGTTACACACATAATTGATTGCTGCGTTTTGTGAATGAATAAACCTGGTAACGCCTCTAGACACCATGAGTTCTGGAAGGACTCCGTAAACACTTTATATGCCGACGTGTGGTGTCGGTCAAAGTGTCGCTGCTTTTCTTTCTGGTCGTTATCCAACAACCAATTGGGACAAAGTTATATGTCTGGTATTCAACCAGCACCGCGAGGCCGTGACTTGGCCTCTTTCTTGGCTTTGGCCTCTTCCTTCTTCTTCTTTTTCTGCTCTTGAATCTTCTCGTCGTGTTTGCGCTTCAGGCTCGCCTTCTCTTCATCCGTGCGGGCGACCGGCTTGAAGAATCCCTCCAAGCGAGATTGCTGAGCGGACTTCAAGTTCTTTTGCAAGCGAGCAGCGCCGTTCTTGACGCGGTCTTCGTTGAACCCCTTGTCTTTGACCAGGAATTCTACTAGACCGGGCACGTCGGGCGCTTCCCACTTGAAGTCGCATTCGGGGTCATTGGCGTCCCGCACGTCGGGGTTCAAGAAGAGCTCTCTCGCATCCTCGTAGGGCCAATCCTCGGGAACGACAAACTTCTTCTTCGGGTCATTTTCCATAAATTCAAGCACCTTCTCCAGGCTTCCGTGGTCACGGATTAGCTTCAGCGCCGTGTTGGGTCCGACCTTGGGGATCGGCTCAAGGTAATCGCAACCCAGCAAGATACACAGATCAATGAACTATATCACATCAGTAAGCATCCTTAAGATATGATTAAAGCAATGAATTCAAGTACATACCTGCTTGCGGTCCATACCAAGCCCCTCTAGCGCACGGTTCAGATGAATCTCTTGAATGGGTTCCTTCCTCTGTTCACTGAATGTAAGGTGGCGTAGAAGAATTGGCGTCTCAAAGCATAGCGTATCCATATCCTCTGAAGCAGCTGCATAGACCTTTCCAGCGCGCGCGAGAACCGCGCACTGCGCCTCGGCTTCCGTGGGGGCATCGATGTACGGAATGCCCATCAACTTCAAAAGCTTCTTACATTCTGCATTGTGCTCTCTGGTGACTCGTACTGTGCGTCGCGAGAACTTCTCAACATCCTCTGCCGTACCGGTTTCCTTGGCCTCCTCGTGAGCCTCGGTGGCTTCGCTCTTCCGAGCAAATCGCTTGGCTAGTTCGCCGGACTTGAGCTTCGGGGGAGCTCCATCAAATACGTACAGGGGCTTGATGCCATTGTCGACCATGCGCAGAGTGCGGTAGAACATGCCCATCAAATGCGACGTTGTCTCTCCGGTGTCGCTCATAAGCTGTTGACCTTCGGAACGGACGGCAATGAGGAAACTGTAAATACTCATGGAGCTGTATGGCAGTTAGCGAATGCAAGCAATGCGATAATACGGGCAACGGCAGCTTACGCATCCTAAAAATTCAATTTCGTCAGCTCTGTCTGAAATAGGAACAGCTAGCTCACTGAGAGCCACCGCGAAGAGGGTAGGAGCGCTTAACATACTATAGCGACCTTTCGGCCAAAGTGGTTCTTAATGTCCCCTGCCTTGATGGCATCTGGGGCATTTTCTGAAATCACCTGATACAGCTCTGAGCGTGGTCAGCTTCTATGAGCTCCTGAGGATGGATGAATGCGCTGCGACAGAGCAGTCTTGTGGAGGGTTGATGTAAATTGAGAATACTCACGTTTAATACCCATCTTGAGATCTTCACTACTATACAAAACCAGGTGAGGTACAAACTCTCAGTCACCGCAAGCAGTTGGAAGGGAATGGCAGGCAGAAATCGGAGGGGAGCCGCGACAGTGACGCGCCGCGGAGAGCTACGCGACATGCGTCATTTATAGACCCGGTTAGGCTTAGCGGCGGCCAGGCAGCTCTCTCCCACGTGACAGACATCCGCCCCGCGGTGGGAAGTTCCCCGGCCCCTCTTACATAAGAGTAATCAGGCTGCAAGGCCACCAGGCCCCACCCGGCGAGGCCCCTGCAGGACCCGAAGCAGTAAGGCGCCGTTCGTTATCGGGCCTGGCCGTCTCGGACTCTCGGTCGAGCAGGCAAATCGCAGCTCTCGGAAACGCAGCCGCCGGCATTTGCCATGTCCACCCCCAGACCCCTCTCTCCTCTCCCATCCTAGGATTGTTCCTGTGTCGTTGGCCCTCTCGTGGTGGATATAGCCCGGAATTATCCCCACTCCCACGCGAGCTACATGATTTGCCTATGACGATGCGTCTTGCATTGGCATCATGAAGCGAAGTCGTCTTCATTTCGAGTCCAACGGTGATGCTTCGTCTGCCGCCTCTCCCCAGAGTACCCGCCCA